TCTCCACCAAGGAAAAAAGTGATCAGGGAAGATCTACATGAGGAAGAAGGGAGGGAAGAAAGAAAGTTTGACACTGGGATCTGCTGATAGACCCTGCTGCCTGAGGTGGTCGCCTCACCTCAGTGGCATAGCGTGGGGGGTGCAGGGGGGCCGGCCGCACCGGGCGCAACATCTGGGGTTAGGGCAAATCCACAGGTTAGGGGGCGCAAATCCACAGGTTAGGGAGCGCAAATCCACGGGTTAGGGGGCGCAAATTACTTGCCCTGCCCCGGGTGCTGACAACCCACGCTACGCCACTGCCTCACCTTGCCTCTTGTGCCGGCCAGCCCATTTGATGGTATCAAATGGGTGGGTGGACTTTGAGCCAAGAATGGGGACATTCTATTCTGCCTAAGAAGTTAAATATCTCTCCTCCTTTTTGAACCCAATTTGCTTTTATGAAATCCGTCGGTCTTGTGATATAAGGATATGAACTTGAAGAGTTTTGAAGCAAGAGTCTTTTTGGTGTCTTTGAAGTGTACTTCATCTCCCGGAGGAGAATACAAGGAAGACAATGTATTTTTATTTTATAGTACCATTCAGGCCTATTTTGCTTGGTACCCAGTTTTATTGTCTTTCTAATAATGAGGCGTGTAGTAACATTGCATAAATGCAAAGCCTTTGATCATGATTATATGCATAACAGACATCTCTTACTATGCCATATATGAGACCTAAGACCTTGCTAGTCTACCCCAGAAGAAGGTGGATTGCTACGTCTGAAACGGTTGTTCGCTATTTAAATAACTGGTACTATTAAGGTGCAAATTGCAACTTTTAAGTAATGATTGCTAATAGTCTTATGTTTACTACCACACAAGGACTTTCATGAAAACAAAATCTGCATTATTCATTTCTAGCTCTGGTAAACAAAGTAAATGCAGCTGGTTGCTCCCTGTGTTGTACTTTTGAGCTTTTTGCTTCTTAAACAGGCAACCTATCAGGGCCAGCAGGACAGGAAGAGAACCAGAAGGGGAGAAAAAGAAAAGTGCTAAGTCCAGATTTTACATTCCCCAGCAATACGCAGCAAATTCACAATTTGTAATATAAAATATGCACATCTTGACAAGCTGTAGGAGGAGAGGAGGGCTTAATCCTGTGCAATTGGGTATGAAAGCTATTTCCGATATAGAGAAATAAAAATGGAATTAACATATCCATTCAGTCTTAGTCCTAGCTTTTCCTCTCCCCTCAATTGTGTTGGGTCATGCAATGGCTGCTCCCCAGAAACAGCTGCATTTTTTATAATTCAGAAACAACATTCTCGGCCTAATGCTCATCTTTCTCACCACGATGTAATCCCATTGGCTACAGGAGAATTCCTCCCGTCTCTCAACCAGGGGAGAAGAAGGGAATCAGACCGACAGTCTGCAAAGCACCTTGGGCTCTTTAGGGATGCAAGATAACAATGCACATGTAATATATCATTACAAATAAATGTATGATGTAATGTCAGCCACTGACCTAAAAATATTCAAACATCTGTTCAAAGAATTATGCAGACAATAGTTGGGGAAGCGCGGGGGGGGGGGGGAGAGAGAGAGAACAGTGCTGTTGAGAAATGAGTCAAGGGGAACATATGTGTTTGACATCGCTGTTTTCCTGACTCAAAGTACGATTTAAACAACAAAAAAAAGAGTTAAGGACAAAATATGCCGTCATCAAGCCCAAATAGCCCCTACTTATTCACTTACACCACCAGTTTCATTACAGCATTCTGTAACATACAATATAAGGATCTCGGGGCTTAACATCAATTATAGGGGGGGGGTGGAGGGGTGGAAATTGCCATGTAGGTAGATTTTCATCAAGCAGCGGGACATCCCTGCTGATTCACTTGCTTGTTCTCTCTAACCTTTACGTCGTTCATTAATCAAATGAGAAACCTGCTTTCGAAGTCAGTGCTGGGACGCAATTATTTACAGTTGTGCATAGGATATAATTTCAAGCAATGGCCAAAGCAGCTATGTGCAGGATCCTAAAACCTTAATACCTTCCTTCCCCTTAGAGACCAGCTTCCTAAAAAGTTGCAAACTTTTCCCGAAGCATAATCCAAAGTCATAATCCAATGTCCCTCCTAGAGCATGCAGATTATTTGTTTGTTTGTTTTAAAGAATGACAAATCTTGCACTTAAAAGAAGGCGAAAGAGAATACTTGTTGTGCCAAATATCTGGATAATCAATTGCTTCCTCCACACCTTCCTCATTCTGCCTAAGGCCATGTTGCGGCTTCTGGACCTCTGAGACCTCCTTCACCTTATGAAACAGAATCTGTATACTAGAGCAATGGAAATGAAAAGAAACGGAACAATGTTGCACGGTGTTTTAAAGACACTGTGTAAACTCAAAGCAGGACTTCCTCCGAAACAGTAGAAACTTGCTCTCTATTTGTTATGTTAAATGTAACCTTAAAGAACCAGCCCCCTCATAACTTGAAACAAATATTAAACAGGGGGCAATAACTTCTGAAAGCCAAGCACATATTTCACAACATAATTATGGGATATCATGGGCCCAAGTTATTCAAACTGTCACCCAGCAGTTTGAAAACCTCTACAAAAAAATAATAATGTTCCAAAGTTCTTTTCAGGGGAGTGGCATCTTGGCTGAGGACCAAGGATGATACCAGTGTAATTAACAAGGAGGCTGTTATCATGCACAAGATGCCTATTGTATGATATTATTTCCAGGTGGCACACGAACCTACCTTTTCCGGCATCCCTAACCTCTTAAATTCCAGCACACTTCAGGAAGAAGGAGTGTTCAAAAGTCCGATGGAAAGGAAAATCAAGGAATGTGTACATGGCGGATCAGGGCTGCCAGCACCCACAATGGCAACAGAAATGCTTTCAAGAGACATTGGAGTCTTAGTTTATAAAGAAGCAGAATCGTACTACATAGGGCCTGTATTCATATGGAAAATCTAAACTTGTACCGCTAACAAGGAAAGGTTGGTTTCTTTATTTTGGGCAAATGAGTGCAGCAATAACCATGTGGCAATACTGTTACTGCTGTCCTAAATGTCTCTCAGCAGAGTGAAAAATAACCCCCATATAATACTCTCCAAAGAAATTGTCTCAGTTATGCCTTTTGATTGTAGTCACCTAAAGCCCTTTTGTATAAAATAATCGTAACTAGCCTTTGAATTGCAATTATGATTTCTAATCTATAGACATATATTAGGGAGAATAGGGGAGAGGGATTGCCGAAGGTTGAACTGGGTCAAGTTTGTAAAAGTTTGTCAAACCCATTCTCCCCTCCAGGATTAATTTTCACATTTGAATAGTCCTCAAGCAGTACTGCGCAAGATTTACTCAAATGCCTATCCTGAAACTTTCCCACATTTAAAAGCTATATTATTCAGTGTCTAATGGAAATGCAAAGTGTTATCTGATGATCTCCTGGCAGAGGGGGGGATTGGGGAGGGTTTTTAAAAAAAACACAACAACAACACAGCAACAACTTAGCTTCACTGTACAGCTCTAATCTAAGTGAACACAAAGAAGAAGAAGAAAAATCCCACCCACATTAAAGCCAAACAAGATAATAATTGTGAATGTCTGGCTAAGAGATTCTAGAGGGCAAGACTTGCGTCACTGGCACTCAGGTTACCATAGTGAGTGATTTATTGATATGTATCAAGAATGAATAGATCAAAGGCAGCAAGATGACAGGTGATCAATCAAATGTCAAATCAAAGTTGGCAATCATCTGGAAACCTGATTTTTTCAGTGGGTGGGTCTGGTGGCAGAAAAAAAAACGAACTTCCCAGCTGCGCTACCCAGAAACAAAAATCCTAGCAAACTATTCTCTCTGTCTCTGTCTCTCTCCATTAACCAACCTTACATTAAAATACATGCACACACCTAAAATCCACGTTAACATTGTGCAGGCCTCTCTGCTCCCCCGTTCCTTACTGGGCTCAACTTTTCCTAGTCTCTCTTTCCTCCCCGTTTGCAACCGAAGCAGAACACCGTCCCAAAAAGTTGCAAACTGCTGGAGCCGCCGGGAAAGCCCTTTAAAAAAAACAAAAAACCCGGTGCATCTGACACCCCCCCCCCAATCATGCAGGCTAGAAACAGTTGCATTTCAACTTGAATAGCAGCGTGCAGGCGAAAGGAGTCCGAAAGATTAATTTGATTGGAATCTAAGGGGCTGCCTCCTAACCGTCAGAACGTTCGTTTTATTTCCTGTTGCAGTTTCTCTCTCTCCCCCCCCCCCCGCACGCTTTCTTTCGCCACTGATGATCAAAGGCTTGAACTTCAACCAGCGGGTTCATCAACAGAGACAGACAGCACCCCCCGCCCCCGCCGCCGCTATTTCAGAGGGAGAAAGAACTGAACGAGGAACGACGCTATGGAAATGGTGATTATTATTATTATTTAAAAAGCAAAACATTACTCTTCTAGAGGCATGCAAACTGCAGTACAAAATAATATATATATATATATATTAAAAAATTCCAAGAGCTCCTCGTTGCAAAGCGCATAGCAGGGATGCAACGCGAAGATGATCAAAGGGGATTTGAGGGGGTTGGGGAGGGGAAGAGAGGAGGGGAAGAGAGGTGCGAAACCATGTGGAAGAAAGTTGGGGGGAAAAGTTTAAGAGGGAGACAGGACGAGGCGGAAAAGCGGTCTTCTTCCCCCCCCCCTCCGCACCTCCCCACCCGCCCTGAAAAAATAAATAAAAATAAGCACCGGTTGGTGCGAAAACTAGTCGGTTTCCAGAGAGGCTGATTCAATAGTGTCCAAGTTGCAAAGGATGGGGGGGGGTGAGAAACAGAGAGGGAAAGATTGAAATAAAAATGATGGGGTTTTTTTTTCTTCTTTCCCTTTTTAAAAAATTGCAAAGACAAAATCTCTCCAAGCGCGTCCCTACAATAAACTGTGGGGGAGGAGGGGAGGGCTTAAAGGTCTTCGGGAGACGCCGAGAGGGCTGCGGCGAGTGGGTTGGCTCCTTACCTGCTGCCCGTTTGGGTGCCTGCTGTTTCCTCCTTGGCATCGCTGTACTTTCTCCAGTCTCACTTCTCTTTCCAGATCCGAGGAGCCTTGGAAGCTCGCGGGGCTTGTTTTCTGTCTCTCTCTCTCTCTCTCTCTCTCTTTCTGTGTGTGTGCGCTTTCTGTGTTTTTTTTCTCTCCCTTCCCCTCCCTCCCTCTCTCTCTCTCTCTCCTCTCTCCCTCTCTCTCTCTTCCTTTCCTCCCCTCCGCCGCTTTGCCTCCTCAGCGACCCACCGCCGGCAGCACTAAGCACCCGTCTCTCTTCTTTGGCACTTCTCTGACGAGATCAACCTGTTCGGATTCTGATTCTTAGGATTTAATTTTAAAAAGGAAAGGGAAACCGGGATGGAGTGGGGGGGGGTGGGGAGCGCCTGCTTTTCTATCTATCTCTGTTTTTTGGTCTTGTTTGAACTGTTGCAAGACTTGCTTTGATGCAAAACACCCAGGAACATCAAATGCAAAAAAGAAAAGGGGAAAAAAGGTGCCGGGATTTATTTTATTTTTGTTTTTTTGAAAAGTGATCAATAAATAGCAAAATATAGATATGCAAAATATTTTTTTTTTAAAAAAAAGAAGCTCAGGCGGTTGTTTCCCCCCCTATTTCCTCTCTTTCCCTCTCACCCCCCCTCTCTCTTATTTCTCTCTCTCCCCCCCCCCCTTTCCTCGTCGCCTCCTTCGCGTAGATCTATATGGCGGATTGGTGAGTGTTGGCTGAGAAAACCGCAGGTTTGTTGCTGTCAGATGCCAGGTTGTGAGTGATATGGAAGAGGACAGAGAAGCTTTGGATGGGAGGAAATCTGGTGTTCACACACACACGCGCACATCCACACACATCCACACGCACAACCACACACATCCACACACGCACATCCACACACACACACACACACACACACAGGCACAAGCACAGGCAGGGCGAGGCGATGCCAGCGAACATCGATCCACTGAGCAAACTGTACATTAACAAACTCCTCCTCCGCGACCTGATGACAGGATGAAATTTACTCCGAGCAGACAGAAGGCAGTCAGTTTATTAAAGAGACAGGGCTTTGCTGATCACAGGCACTTCGGCGGGAGGGGGACGGAAGGAGCGAAAGAGACCACCTTATTCAAGCAATCGCTCCTCCTCTAGTGCCAACCTGTTTGTGTACTCACCTCACCTCTCTCCTCACCCCCCCCTCATAATACGATCCTTTCCTGGCTAGCCCCCCTTTCCCATCACTGCAGGAAACTGGACCAAATTGTGCCAACCCCCCCATCCCAATCAGGGCACTGGAAGATCGATTCCATGCAGGATCCAGCCTTGACAAGCAGCTGATCAGGTGAAGTGGACAGTGCATCTGAGCATGTTCAGAGTGCCTCTGCCTTGCCAGGGATTGCATGAGATATCTATACCCCTGCTCTCACACATACACTATCCTGAATATTAGAAAGGGTTTAAAAACAAAAAAACAAGCCATTTTATCTGATTCCCTCTCTTTCACACACACACAGTTGGGAGGATGGTACATGATAAAGTTCTCTCTTTCCCACACTTTTGAAAATAGATTGCTGACAAGTTCTCACCATCAGAGAAAGACACCCAGGAGGTGTTGGGTTGCCTCTGGAACAAACTGTATGAAGTTTCCTTTATTTCCTTTTCCTCTGTTTTGCCCAGGTGTTTGGCGGCGATAGCCAGATGAAGGCTGTAGCTGCTTGCAGCTGGGAGGCAATGAGAGAAAACCCCTCGAAGTGGAGGAGGCTACGGAGAGGTGAGTGGGAGGAGGAGGAGAAGGAGGAAGAAAGAAGAGGGTGAAACAAGGGCAACACGATCCTTGAGGCTTTCCCTCCAAGAGCATCGCTTTGGCGTAGGAAGGAGAATAAACAAAATGTGTGGACGCCACAACGTGCATTTGGACAAGTGTACACATCTGGTGGGAGCCTCCTGCCCGTCACAGCTTCCTGCTCTGCGTACACCAAATCTCAGTGCACACGTGTTTGTCCGCCACACGATATGGCATACATGCAGCTTAGCCACCTGGAAGTGATAACCGTGAAGGAAATCATCTTGTGTGAAGTGGCCTGAAGGAGGAAGTAACATTACAGTCCCACTTATCGGAGAGTGATCCAGATATATTGGAAACATCTGGAGGAGCGGCAGTTTTGGATGCGATTGTACATTCAGCTGCATTAATGGAGAACAGAAGACGATGGAGAGAAAAAAAGCAAAAAGCAGTGAGGTGTCTGAGGTAGCTGGGAGAGGCCGTTTGGTGGAGTGGATCAAACAAGGCTGGTCTTAGATCAGTGAAGAATCGTGGCTGTCTTGTGCCACCATCAGCCATTGATTCACCAGAATCTCCACATCAGCTTCTCTGTACAATGAGATGGGGTCATTATCTTTTGGTGTGCAATAGATTTAAATATTCACAAATGTGCAATAGTTATTCAGTAGTCCAGGACCAAGTGCTAAAGCTTTTGTGCATCATATCACTTTCAGCAACACAGTTGTTTTCTGGGAGTAACCCCCCCCCCATAAATAACAGTCAAAGATGCATCTAACAAGAGCTATAGACAAAAGAAAGCCTTACCAATTCTCTGCCAAAGAAACCAGTCTCCGTTTATGTTGCTGGAGCTCTTGACATTTTTCTCAAGACAATGCTCCTTTTTGCATGATATTCTGTTTCCCCCTGTATTCAGTCCACAGTTATTTTGTCTTTTTTTTAAAAAAAAATAATTTTATTAATTTTCCAAGCATATAATAAAACAAACAATCAAACAAAACAAACAAAACATACAAACATATAAACATGTATACTTTTCGTAATCTTATCTTCCTACACCTTGCTTCCCGGACTTCCCCATACCTCCCCTTTTCTGCATCCTTGTTTTTGCCTTTCTTCAGCAACCCTCCAACTAATTAATTAATTCACTTTCATTCTAATTTCCTTAACTTATTGTTTACAGCTGCAATTCTCTATTTCTTAACACCTTAACATCTCATTACACTTCAATTTTACAACAATTTTTAAGGTAAGTTTTAAATTTCTTCCAGTCTTCTTCCACTGTCTCTTTCCCCTGGTCACGGATTCTGCCGGTCATCTCTGCCAATCCCATGTAGTCGATCACCTTCGCTTGCCATTCTTCCAGAGTGGGTAACTCTTGTGTCTTCCAATACTTTGCCAAAAGAATTCTTGCTGCTGCAGTAGCATACATAAAAAACGTCCTATCCTTCCTTGTCACCAATTGGCCAACCATGCCCAGGAGAAAAGCCTCAGGCTTTTTAGAGAAGGTCCATTTAAGAACCTTCTTAATTTCATTATAGATCATTTCCCAAAAGGCTTTAATCTTCGGGCATGTCCACCAAAGGTGATAAAAGGTACCTTCAGTCTCATTACATTTCCAGCATTTGTTATTGGGCAAATGATAAATTTTTGCAAGCTTGACTGGGGTCATGTACCACCTGTAAATCATTTTCATAATGTTTTCTCTTAATGCATTACATGCCGTAAACTTAACACCAGTATTCCATAACTGTTCCCAGTCAGCAAACATAATATCATGACCAATGTCTTGTGCCCATTTAATTATAGCTGATTTAACCGTTTCATCCTGTGTATTCCATTTCAACAGCAAATTATACATTCTTGACAAGTTCTTAGTATTGGATTCTAACAGTTCTGTTTCTAATTTTGACCTCCCCATCTGGAAACCTATTTTCCTCAGTCCACAGTTATTTTGTCAATGGGAATGTGAGATTCTACCACCCCAAACTAGAACCTCCATTGCAATTATGAGCAGGATGTGGAATGTAGTTGTCAAACTGAGTTCATGGGGGATCCTTTGGACAAAGGCTTTGATGAGAAATCTTGCTTCTTTCCAGTGCCATTTTGGTGAGCTTTGGATGTATCTTATTTTTCATTATTTAAAGCAAAGATTTCATCTCACCTTTTATCAAGATTTTTTTTTTTAAAAAAACAAATAAATAAATTACAAATGTTATTGATTAAAACAACCAATTGTGAAACATAAAATGTTGCTTTCTAGGACAGATGCATCTACAGATGTTAGGTCTTGTATGCAGTCACCCACACGGCATCAAAACAGACTTGGAAAACCTGTTACATTACAGATTAAGCTCACATTCACAAGGTATACTTCAGTATAAAGCATTAATTTCTCCCTAGAAATTATCAAGGGGGCATAGACATTATCAAGGAGTTAAACAATGTTTTAAAAATCAAGACAAGTCTCATGATAAAAGAAGCAGGGAGTGTAAAATGAAGACAAGCAAATGTTCCATTAGAATATTCTCTTGGGAGCCACCCAGAATGACTGGGGAAACCCAGCCAGATGGGTGGGGTATAAATATATTTATTATATTTATTATTATTATTATTATTATTATTATTATTATTATTATTATTATTATTATTTACTACTACTACTACAGCCTTTGGCAACTGTCTAGATGATTTGAACTACAATGCCCACCAGCTTCAGCCAGCACAACCATATGCAAAGGCTATTAAAATAATGGGATAATAAAATTATAGTCATTGGACACCCCCCCCCAATAAAGCAGGTGAGCATCCATGGGAAAACTTTCCACAACTGAGGTGCCATCACCAAAAAGGCCCTGATTCTTCCATCACTTTCCCTTTGAAAGCAGAGGCAACTGGTGCGGGCACTGCCAAACTAATCATTCAGCAGCGTAGGTTGGCATCCGTCTGTCTCGAGAGACAATGGAGGAGTCTGGCAGTGTGATGCATTATTAAAAATGCTAATGCAATTGAAGGCTACATCAACAGGAGCTTATAAGATGGTCCCTAATTTTTCGGCTTTGGTCAGACTTTACATTGAGGAGTGTGTGTGCCGTTCTGGGCACCACCATTTAAGGATATTAAAATACTTAAATATGTCCAGGAGGCAGATGATGAAGATGGGAAAGATTGAAGGATTAGGGTACCATTAGTTGGGGGGGGGGAGGAAAGACTGTTTGAAGCACTTGTCACATAAGATAATGGAGCAAATTTCTGTCACTCTAGATGAAACAATGGGTTCAAATTAGATGGAAGGAGATTTTGACCAAACACCAGAAATAACTTCTTGATGGTATGAGGTGCTTGACAGTAGAACGATCACTTTGAGGCTTTAGAGCTGAGGCTTTCTAGCCCTCCTATCAAAGATGCCATAGAGGCAGGATTCCCACATGAACAGGAGATTGGACTAGACTGCCTGTATGTCCCTTTAATTTCTACGATTCTAGCAAGGTCAGCAGCATCAGGTCTCACTGCAGGTACAACAGCTTCAGAAGCTCCAACAGTAGGGCAGACAGTCCAGAGTTGGGTTTCTCTTGGGATGGAGGATGGTTTGAGGAGGAAGAAGGTAGTGAGATTAACTTGGGCAGTGAGCAGGTTTTTGAGGTGCTTCTTTTTTCTTCTTCAAACATGTCTGTCAGATACATAGATCCAGCATCTGTTCTTGTGGAAGTTCTGAGAAAGCATC